AAAATTCTGACTTTCTCTCAAAATTCTGACTTTTTCTCTCAAAATTCTGACTTTCTCTCAAAATTCTGATTTTTTTCTCAAAATTCTGACTTTTTCTCTCAAAATTCTGACTTTCTCTCAAATTCTGACATTTTCTCTCAAAATATTAACTTTTTCTCAAAATTCTGATTTTTTTCCTCAAAATTCTGACATTTTTTCTCAAAATCATTTTTTTAATACTTTTTTTCGAAATCTCAAAAGCTCTGACTCTTTCTCAATGTTTACTTCAGATTAGCTCCACGTCAGAAATGAGCATGCTTGATGTCTCTCTCCATAGAGGCTGAATCATCATGTTAATCACATAGCTATCATCTGCCTCAAACAGTCCTGATGCTCTTCTAGGTAATCACACATCCTGTCATGTTCACAGCTACAGTTGATACCTTTGATATCATGTGACTCTCATACTGGAAGAGGACATTCAGTGTTTTCCCAACTGTTTATTTCTACTCTTTTAATTTGTTATTATGTGCAATGGCTTGTTTTGTTTTATGCTGCTGCAACAACAAAAACGTTTCCCCAAATTGGGATGAATAAAGTACATGTTATCTTAACTGATGAACTGAGAAAGGAATTTAAAGCAGCCGTTCACCTAAAACACCAGCGTACGGGCTGAGCAGAAGGATGTATTCCAGCTCTGCGACGGCGTTAAAGACAGCTCTGTGAAAACAAGCAAAGCAACGAGGGTGACAGACATTACATTAACCTCTGAATCTGTATTCTGTGGGGGCTTCTGTCTCACTGTAAATGTCTCCGCTGTGGGACTCATAAAGCAATTCTGATTACTGAAGCACATTAGAGTCATCAAATAATAATCAACGTAATGTAGTTATTTGGGAGTGAAACCCTGACAGTTCAAAACTCTACAGTCCACCTGTCTATAATCACTACACACAACTAAAAAAGTGCTGACAAATATGGCAATAAATGTATTCCTCTGATGATTAAAGGTGGGGTAGGTAATTCACTTCAGAAACACTTGTTATATTCCATGGAATGCTCTTAACATCCCGATGGCAATGAATACATTAAATGCTTTGACGATAAATCTACAGTCTATGCGATAAATCCATAAAACATGTCATCTGTGGAAGCCGTGGCGCACACACTTATCTCGTGCCCTCATTGGTCATGTGCGCGTTCGTGTGTGTTGGAGGAGGGGCTCTGTGAGGAAGTCTGAAGGGAAGGGGCAGATTTTTTTCGGTTGTGTATTTTCTAATTCTAGCGCACTCGAGCTGCTTTCTCCATTCTTACCTACCCCACCTTTAAGTATTGAATAACACGGTAAAAAGACAACATGATTTTTCGGAAATTAAATATTCCAAAGGAGAATTCCACAGAAAAGGATACATCTACTTTTATTTGTTCATACCTTAATATTTCTTTTGCACTTGCTGTGGCGAAATCTGTGTCTGCCACGAAGAAGTGGAGGAAGAGTGTGTTCAAAGGCTGTGGAGGGAAGATCTTTTAGCAAGTGTTCAGGTCAACAGCTCGAGCCAAAAGGTGTGTGTAGTCCTGTACAATGAAACGCTAAAATATCTGAATTCATGAGAGGTACAGACTGTGCATGTTTCAGCGCTGAAGTGTTTCTGCAGGAACGGTTCCCAGCTAGTCTGATCCACCAAGTCTCCAACAGGGTGATCGAAGAAGGAAGCGTGAGCCAGGATCTCCTCCCTCTCATTGGCCAGAGTCACCGCCAGATTGGCTTTCTCTCTGGAGAGACGGGAGAGGAAACGAGAACCAAGGGGTCATGTTGAGATAACAACTATAAGCACATCGTCAGTATTTCTGATTACCTGCAAGGCAAGATGTTACAATGGGAAGACCAACATCAAATAGTTCATACAACCATTTTAAAATCTTCTTATGTCCTAAATAATCCACCTTTTCTCAATCTACCTGTGTGCTCATACTGTATGTTCCATCATCATTCATATTCAGGATCAGTAACAAAATGGCATCCAACCCAAAAGGGCAAACAGTAGAAAAGTGCACATACTGTAAATATATACATATAATGAATGATACAAGGATATATATAATAACATAATATCAATTATAAGATATTAAGGATTATGAATTGATATGTAAAGTATGACTAATACGCTAGAATGTCATATGTTTAGTACATAAATACACTTTGATGTACAATTAACAGTTACATTTGGTTCAGAGTTAAGTAGCAAGTGAGTTAAGATAAACTACGTAATAACAAGATACGTGATCTTGAAGAAACCACCGTGGCTGTAAATGCTTTGGCTAACTGTTGTATGACTGTGTTTTAAAATGGTCTGTGCTGTTACCATTGTTGGGCCAGGACTCTCTGTCCTGGTATGTCGTCATTGTTTTTATCTTAATGATTATCAAAATCATGTACAGCTGACCTTATCAAAGCCTAGGTGAACCTCTTATTAGAAATCCTGGTAAGTACTCTCTAAATATATACTTAAGACACTAAACAAAGGTGTTGTGTCTCACAGCAGATGGATGACGTTGACTCGTCCAAACACTGCTCCAGCTTCAGGGCTGATGAGGCCGTTGATCCCCTGAGCGTCGGCTGACTCCGTCCTTCTGACATTCACAGCTTCCTCCTGGCCGCTGGAGGAAGCTATCGTCCTCATCTTCACCTGGGCTCACTGCTTTTCATAATAGAGCACTGGATCAGGTCAGGCACGATAACATAAACAACATTAATGATGTATGTTAGCGTAATGTAAGTAGTGGTGGAGGAAGATGTTGGATCCTTTGGTAAAGTGTAAACATACCAATACCACAGTGTAAAAAAAGCTCTGTTACAAGTGAAAGTCCTGCATGAAAATGATACTTAGGTAAATGTGTGGAAAGTTTATACAATACAAAATAACTTCAAATATTAAAAGTACTAAAATGTCCCTTTTACACTTATATAATATATATTGGATTACTCTAAACATTGTTGTAAAAGCATTTTACTGCTGTAGCTGTAAATAATAGTGAATATATACACATAACATTACAGTTATATTAATATTATATTACAACTGACTATAATTTTCTATGTAATCATAGTTAGTTTCATCCCAACATTGCACAACAGTTGTTTGTTTTGTACAGATAATTGTCATTTTAAGGACATTTTATATTCATAAAAGTTGATGGGCTGACACCAAACCTCATTTTCAATATAGTGAATAGTGAATAAAAAGGCTATCAGAGCTAAATGGGTATTGAACAAATATTTAGTAAAAAATGAATGCTGGTTTAGCATTAGCTTGTTAGGCTAGCTAGTTAAAATCTAGATGTTAGCCAGACTAGAACACCTGTTACTCACCTGTCTGTCACAGTCCCCAAATAAACAACAAAGTTACATTTATTGACAAACCTTGCAATAGCTTGTAGTTGAAATTAGAAAGTGAACATAGCAGTTAACTCGATAAACTGTTAAGTTAACGGAACATTTTATGTTGTAGTCTAAGCTAGCCGTTAGCTCACACAAACTGCGTAACCATAGTAACAGAACGCTGCACCGTTTTCAACCATGGTGCTATGGTGCATTCAGGTGCTACTCGGACGTTCTCGTTTCCCGAGTTTGAAAATAGTTCTTCCTACTTAGTTTCGTCCCAAACTTTTGGATTAAAAACCCATAAACCACTAAAGTATAGATTTACTCTTGCTTTTAAATAAGGGAAAGGATAATGTCTTGCGTGTCTTACTAATCTAGGTCACGCAGCAACGTCGAATGCAAAAGGCCGGTTACAATTCCACAACAATTTACTACCACATTTGAAATAACATCATGTTAAAAATAAATAAAACAATGCAATGCGCAAATTAATAAAACGTGTCTTACCATCAACCCAACATGTATGTTTTTCTCCATTGCTTTGCGTATTGTGATGTCAAATCGGATTTTGTGTAACAAACTTTTCGTCGCGTTCTCACATCAATTCGGATTTTCCCATCGAGGAAGTCATTTCCACCGATTGTTATAACAACACGCGAATGCAACCCGCAAAGCATTCTGGGTACTGTCATGGCGGCTCGCGCCTGATGTTTTCAAAACGTTTGTTTCCAGTTTGAAGTTTTGTGGTTTTCGAAGCATTTTAATAGTTTTCTAGTGTTTTTTGGGGTTCAACCTGCCAATAAAAATGGCCTCAACTGCGGCAGGCAAGCAGCGGATCCCGAAGGTGGCGAAGGTAAGAAAAGAAAACAACAGATAAAAAAGCCATGAGCTCCGGAGCTAAGCTAATGCTAACAAATAGATAGCACTGGAGTTGAATTGAGCAAAGCGTTGAGTGAAGACCACAGAGTGTATGTTTATGTAAATAAGAATACAAGTATACATTATATTGTTGTTTTAGAATGGTAACTTTAATCCTAGCTTTCCGGAAACCGCATTACCTGTAAAACAGTACGCTACCTTTCATGTCTGTAGTAGTTTGTCCGACATGCTGCGTTTTGTTTGGGTTTCATGTGTTTTTTACTGTAAACAAAGTTGAAGTACTCAGATCTAGTACTTAGTTAAAGTAGAAGTACTCAGATCTTGTGCTTGAGTAAAAGTAGAAGTACTCAGATCTAGTACTTAGTTAAAGTAGAAGTACTCAGATCTTGTACTTGAGTAAAAGTAGAAGTACTCAGATCTTGTACTTGAGTAAAAGTAGAAGTACTCAGATCTTGTACTTGAGTAAAAGTAGAAGTACTCAGGTCTTGTACTTAAGTCAAAGTAGAAGTACTCAGATCTTGTACTTGAGTAAAAGTAGAAGTACTCAGATCTTGTACTTGAGTAAAAGTAGAAGTACTCAGGTCTTGTACTTGAGTAAAAGTAGAAGTACTCAGATCTTGTACTTGAGTAAAAGTAGAAGTACTCAGATCTTGTACTTGAGTAAAAGTAGAAGTACTCAGATCTTGTACTTGAGTAAAAGTAGAAGTACTCAGATCTAGCACTTGAGTAGAAGTAGAAGTACTCAGATCTTGTAGTTGAGTAAAAGTAGAAGTACCAGAGTGTAGGAATACTCTGTTACAGTAAAAGTCCTGCATTCAAAATGTTCCTCAAGTGAAAGTAGAAAAGTATTCTCATCTAAATATAGTGAAAGTAGCGACAGTGAAAGTAGTCGTTGTGCAGATTGGTCCATTTCAGAATAATATCTATGATATGATTATAATGATTGATCATTGCAAAGACGTCATGCCCATGTCTGCAGACACATCATGTATAACACGTCTTGCTGTGTTTCAGGTGAAGAACAAAGCTCCAGCAGAGGTTCAGATCACAGCTGAGCAGCTGCTGAGGGAAGCCAAAGAGAGAGAGCTCGAACTTCTGCCACCGCCACCCAAACAGAAGATCACTGATGAAGAGGAGCTGAACGATTACAAACTGAGGAAGAGGAAGGTGAGTGCTGACAGCTGACCAAAACATATAAGATTCTCCAATTCAGAAGTGTGAGATCGCGTCTTTTTTTATTGTCAGACAGTTTATAGATTATATAGGATGTGCAATGTCTTGTTTTCTTTTATGTTGCTGCAACAAAAACATTCTCCCAATTGGGATTCATAAAGTACATCTGATCTAATGTGATTTTACTAAGACTTTTGTTTGCTCAAAACTCCTTAAAAAGACAACTTTGGTGTTTTCTTTTAACCTTGTTTTGAACCATTCTCCTCCTCGTCTCTCAGGGGTTTGAGGACAACATCAGAAAGAACCGAACGGTCATCAGTAACTGGATCAAATACGCACAATGGGAGGAAAGCCTGAAGGAGGTCCAGAGGTATTTTACCCAAAGCCAGGAAGACGTTTTATTCCATTTCCCCCTGTGCTTTATATGTTTCCCTCACCTCCTCCTCCTCCTCTGGTTTCAGGGCTCGCTCCATCTACGAGCGAGCGCTGGACGTGGATCACCGAAACATCACGCTGTGGCTGAAATACGCCGAGATGGAGATGAAGAGCCGGCAGGTGAACCACGCCCGAAACATCTGGGACCGAGCCATCACCATCCTCCCCCGCGTCAACCAGTTCTGGTACGTGTGGCATTACAACCTTCGCAACAACAAGTCTGCAGACTTGTCAAAGCATTAATTCATGGTTCTTACTAACCGGTATCAGTATGTTGTTACTTCGGCATCATTTTGAAACGTGTATTACAATTAAATCACGGTCAAATATGTTCATCTTGTTGTAGTTGTAGCCCCCTTGCCAGCGAGTCTTGTTTGAATGATGCGAGTAAACACAGCCGCGGTGAAACTCGAGCGATAAGAACGAAGAATGTACGTTTGAAACTCCACAAAGCTCGCTTCATGAGTGTGACTCAAACTGTCTTTGTAGCTTCTCCTCTCTGTACTTAGCTATCCACATACCTTCCTGTGCTTCATTGACTTTTCCTTTTCTTCTGGTAACAGGTACAAGTACACGTACATGGAGGAGATGCTGGGGAACGTGGCGGGCTGCAGGCAGGCGTTCGAGCGCTGGATGGAGTGGGAGCCCGACGAGCAGGCCTGGCACTCCTTCATCAACTTCGAGCTGCGCTACAAGGAAGTGGACAAAGGCCGCAGTATTTACGAGAGATATATCCTTTCAAATGGAGTTTTTAGATTTATTGTATTTCTGTCAGGATGTAAAGAAATATAGCAAAACAACATCATATTACCCACTCGTGCTTTAACTCTCGCCTAAGTACTTCTTACTCAACACAGTTCAGATAACTCAAAGTGTTGCAGACCGTTTGTGTCGTGCAAAAGGGTAAAAACAATATTGGTACCTCATGTTAAACTTTGTAGTCTCTTAGTGGAGATAAAAGACTACAATTCCCACGATGCCAAGAGACTCGTGGAGGCAACCTGTGTGGAAGACGCCAACTAGACACAATTTAATTATTTTAATGTTTATTATCTACGGAAACAAAATAATCTACGTTTTCCTCAGCGTTTTATTAGATTTTTGCCTTTTTGTTTTGATTAGTTTCGACTCTTGTAAAGTATTTTTTTGAGTGTGGAAATGTTATATTGATTAACCTCACGAGCTGCATCGCATCACTCCACCCTAACTACTCGGAGTGAATTCATCATTTGAAAGACAACACGTTAGAAATGTCTGTTTTGAAAAGGCGTCAACATGGACTTATAGAAACTCAGGAATATGAATCCGAGGAGAGGAGGAGGAGGAGGAGGAGGAGGAGGAGGAGGTTTAAAACCAGAGGGGTCAATAAGGACGGTACAAGGGAAGGGGATGATTACAAAATAAACAAAAAAGGCAAGTTACGTTATTTTCTCAGTCAGAAACATAAATACAGTTTGAGTTCATCCTAATCAGGAATGCAAACAACACTTTCTTTTACCCTCTATTTTTATTTTAACTGCACAGAAAAGTGTTTGTTACAAATGTGCAGAATATTTATAATATATATTTATAATATTTCAATATTTAAACATGGTTGTTTTCTGTTATGATTATATTTTCCCCCGGTCAATGGGTTAATAGCTTCATCCAAAGAAAGGTCATTAGTGAGAAATATCCATCACTATTCCCCAGAACTCAAGATCAAATCTTAAAGACGTCTTGTTAGGGCTGCTCAATTCATCGCTATTACGATTACGGCTTGCAACGATTACGAAAACAACGTAATTGAAATGAAACGATTATTTTTTTATTACTTTTTTGTGTGGCTTTTCAGTTGAGTTATACTTTAAAGTTCAGGGAAATCAACTGTTAAAAACATACGGTTCACATTTTTTTTCTCCAATAAATGGATGTTTTCAAAGTAAATGAATAATCGTTTTTAATAATCGTGATATCAATTATTGACCCAAATAATCGAGATTATGATTTTTGCCATAATCGAGCAGCCCTACGTCTTGTTGTGTCCGATCAACACTCGAATACCCAAAGATATTTAAGTAACAGTGAACCAGAGTAAAGCAGTCACGAAACCAGGGACTGTTTGGTGTTTCTTGGCCTGAAAATGCTTCTTGTTTGTGGTGAGAAGCTCCTTGACTCCTCTGCACTCGTCCTCGTTCACCCCGAGGTGAAGAACTGGATAAAGTACGCTCGTTTTGAGGAGAAGCACGGCTACATCGCTCACAGCAGGAAGGTGTACGAGCGGTCGGTGGACTTCTTCGGGGAGGACTACGTGAACGAACACCTGTTTGTGGCCTTCGCAAAGTTCGAGGAGGCGCAGAAAGAGGTGAGCGACTAATCCAACATGACTTCAGATTACAGGAACAATCCTTTGTCAAAGTCAACTTTATTGTCAATCTTTCAGTTTGTTTGTACAGACGGAGAAATAGACACATTTGTACATATGCACACATTAAAGACATAAATAAAGCACAACATTCATTATAAATATAATAACAGTCACTTCCCCTAAAGTCAGTGGTTCCCAACCTGTGGTACGAGGACCCCTAGGGGTACTTGAGGGGATTGCAGGAGGTCTGAGAAAGATTAGGAATTTCAATTTCTATCCAAATGGAAATTGTTTTTAGTTTTTGAAAGACAAGCAAGCTCAAGTGTCTCATTAAAGCTCGAGCGACTCAATAAAAGATGTTTGAACTGCGAGAAGTGAGTTTTAATATTGTTACTGTAAATGTCAAGTTTAAATGCATTTGTATTAAGGGCGAGTTGTACACGGTGTTTCATCTAAGGAGCCGTTATTAGCGGTTCAATACGATTTCAAAGGGTTAAATACAATCAAATTAATTGTGCAGCGACTAACTCAAGGGGTTAATTTATTAACCCCTGGTTGATATTGTTAGGCTCGTGTTTTCCTCATTTGTTCTCTTCTTAGTTTATTTTATCTTTGATTTAATGTCTGAATTTTCTACAAGATGGACCAAACATGGAAATGCTCGTTAATATGGTTTTTTTCACTGACAATAAGTTTAATGTTAAGTTTAAATGCTTCTATTAAGGGTGAGTTGTACAAGTGATTTTCGTTTATTTAGCTGGTGGGTTGAATACGATTACAAGGGGTTTAATACAAGATGAAAAGTAGGTGAATTGTGACCAGCTCAAAGGGTGACGAGACAAAAAAGGTTAAGAACCACTGCTTTAAAGCTTAATATACTTTAATCGATGTCTTCATGAAGTGCAAAGGAGACAAGCGGGTTTGAATGAGCGTTAATGCAAAATCCTCAATATTCACAACTCTTAAATCATTACATAAGGTTACAGAGTATCTCCTGTTACGGTACTATGGTCGTGTTTTAGACAAGACATTGAGTTATATAAAATGTTATTGTCCTTGTGTTTAGATTTTGAAACGATCTTAAATATTGTGTTTTGTGCTGAGATTCCTTCCTTTTAAAAACCCGATAAATGAACGAAATCTCCCTTTTTCTTTCTCGTTACAGTTTGAGCGCGTGCGGGTGATTTATAAATATGCCCTGGACAGAATCCCTAAGCAGCAGGCGCAGGAACTTTTCAAATTCTACACCATGTTCGAGAAGAAGTTCGGAGACCGGAGAGGCATCGAGGATGTCATCGTCAGCAAACGCAGGTTCCAGTACGAGGAGGAAGTCAAGGTGCTTACACTGCGACATATATATATATATATATACACTTATATATGTATATATATACATATATATATGTGTATATATATATATATACATATATATATATATATATGTATATATATGTATATATATACATATATATATGTGTATATATATATATATACACATATATATATATATATATGTATATATGTACACGGTCACCGGAGGATTTATACCAAACATTCAGGAGATTTCTAGATCTTCATCTTTGATTTAGATTTATTTTGAACGTGTAAAACAATATTACAAAAAATAATAATGAAATGAAACAAGAGAATTATGATACTGTACAAACTTCAGCAGTATCAAAACACAAATATTATTGACTTACAAATGATATAAGAAACTCAAGTATACTCAAGTAAAAGTAAAGAACCATGGGCTTTGAAATGTACTTAATGGAACCTATCATGCAAAATGCACTTTGTGATGTCTTCTCTACATCACCATGTGTCCCCGGTGTGTCCCCGGTGTGTCGGGGAACTCACGCAGCGTCAGGAAATAAAACCCTCTCTCTTTTCCTCCGTACCCAAATCTCTAAAAACGGGGAACAACGGAGCTGATCCAGATTTGCGTCTGATATGACGTAATATCTGAAATGTGGACCCACGGGCCAATCAGAAACGTTGCTATCAGAAACAATGCCCGACTGTTTGGACGTAATGTGGTCGGTGTTTACATTAGCATCGCTAACACTCAGAGCTAACCTGTGTATGTGCTTAAGTACAATAACAAAGTATTTGTACTTCCCACCTTTGCTCCTCACTGACGTCTTCCTCTCTCTCTCAGGCGAATCCTCACAACTACGACGCCTGGTTCGATTACCTGCGTTTGGTGGAGAACGACGCGGACCCCGACACGGTGAGGGAAGTCTACGAGAGATCCATCGCTAACATCCCCCCCATCCAGGAGAAGAGGCACTGGAAACGCTACATCTACCTGTGGATCAACTACGCGCTGTACGAGGAGCTGGAGGTCAAGGTGGGGTCATTCACTTCATCAATATACTTCATTCACTGCAGGAGGCGAAGGGGAACGTTATATTTATGTAGAGCAAGAAACAATCGCATAAAAAGGAAAGTAGGGCTACACGTTTTTCTAAAAAACAACTAATTGATTATTTTTGACTGATTTTGCAATTGTGATATTTTAATTTGATGAAATCACATTATCATTGGAAATGTGTTTAAATAATGATAGTGTGTGATTAAGAGGATCTGTGCTCAACAAGGGTTTGTATTAAGCCTGTAGAATATTCTCTGCAGCTCCACAACACTTCATTAAATGACAATTAGATGAATTGAGCTGGAGGTCAAGGTGGGGTCACAGGATTTCCTTCATCAATAACCTTCATTTCACTGCAGGAGACGAAGGAGAAAGGAATCGTGATTAATCAGAATACTTGAATTAACCCCTGGGGAAATGAGCTTTCATGGTACATGTAAACATTTGAAAATAAACACAAGAATTTAAAGTAAAACTGCAATAAAATCTAAAATAATATGTATATAAATGAAGTTAAAGTAAACATGTGAAAGTAAGGATAAAATAGATTTTTTTTAATATATATATATATATATTTATATATATATAAATATAGGAAATTAAAGTAAGAATTAGCTAATTGTAAAGGGTTCTTACGGTCATTAAGAACCTGGAAAAGTCATGGAAATTCAAAATGCTAATTCCAGGCCCTGGAAAACAATATTTTTCCCAAAGTTTTGGAAAAGTCATGGAAATGTAACTAAAGTTGCATCAAATATCATTTATATTTTATCTAATCACCAAAATAGTAACACTATAATGATAATAAATACTGTATCGTATAATGAAACGTAAAATGGCGTTTAACCGACGAGGTGTTTAGCTGGTGAGAGATTTGAGTTTCTTTAGCGTGTAGCAGCTACTATTGGATTTGTTTCAGATTGGCACAACATGCACTTATTTTCCTGTTCCATGTTCAAATAAACCGTTTTCAGTGGTTCCGCTGAGAAAGAGTCATTGTTTTGGTCCTGGAGAAGTCCTGGAAAAGTCATTGAAAACCATTAGTGAAAAAGTGTATGAACCCTGATTGTAAATTACATAATGGCCATAACATCTAAAAGGTTTGTGTTATCAATGTAATTAAAGATCTTAACCATGAATTGCGTTAAATAAGGTTATTCACAGGAATAGAGTGAGAGATGGACGAGGCCTGCCGCGATAAGCAATTCATTGACTTATCGTACGATAAATAAAAATGAACGATAACTTTTCTGACCTCGATAAATTGCGTGTTTGTTTACATAAGGCTGTGACCAGCAGCAGGTGCGCTGTGAGGGGCGGGGCTCACACAAGTGAACCCAGAAAGCCAAAGAAATCCAATGAACGGACTTGCTCACTTATTCTCTTTCGACCAGTCAGCTTCTTGTCTTATTTAAAAAACAAACTGCATGATAACGATCCTTTTATGCGTGTGGAACATCTTCTTGCTTTTCTCCCATCAGGATCCAGAGAGAACGAGGCAGGTGTACCAGGCCAGCCTGGACCTCATCCCACATAAAAAGGTAACTATTAGTTTTATCTTAGAACAAGTCTTTAATGATCTGTTCCTAGTAATAAAGACACAGTGCCGGTATGATCAGTGTTGGTACAGTTAATACAAGATGTTGATAATGTTGTTGTTTGTATCTCAGTTCACGTTCGCTAAGATCTGGCTGCTCTACGCTCAGTTTGAGATCCGACAGAAGAACCTGCAGGGAGCCAGAAAGGTCATGGTAAGATTCAACTCGTTACTTATTCAAATCTTCTGTCATTCAGACATTTGTGACCAAAGTCAGTCGCATTGACCCCAAGACACATTTTGAGTTGGATACACTGCTGGAAAGAGGAGAGTCCTAGCTTTCTAATGATATCTGGATTGTCTTTGTTTTCCAAATATTAAGCGAAATATGTCACATTATATAACGACTGTCACCGAGTCATCGTTTTGTGTGTGTGTGTGTGTGTGTGTGTGTGTGTGTGTGTGTGTGTGTGTGTGTGTGTGTGTGTGTGTGTGTGTGTGTGTGTGTGTGTGTGGTGTGTGTGTGTGTGTGTGTGTGTGTGTGTGTGTGTGTGTGTGTGTGTGTGTGTGTGTGTGTGTTGTGTGTGTGTGTGTGTGTGTGGTGTGTGTGTGTGTGTGTGTGTGTGTGTGTGTGTGTGTGTGTGTGTTTGTGTGTGTGTGTGTGTGTGTGTGTGGTGTGTGGTGTGTGTGTGTGTGTGTGTGTGTGTGTGTTGTGTGTGTGTGTGTGTGTGTGTGTGTGTGTGTGTGTGTGGAAACAGCGGCTGTTGTTATGCCTGCTGTGACATCACGTTAATCCGTTCTCCGCTTGTAATTATGCCGAAGCTTCAAAGTTGTATTTATCTTCTGAATTTGCCGAAACAAGTTTAATATTCTGAAAGCCAAGACTTTGTTTGTTTAAAATCAAACAAAACACCCGAACCCCGAACAAATAGTTTTTACGTACATCCACGTTTATTCTGAAATGAGCCGTTGCGACTTCCGACTGATTTCGATAGAGCGGGTCCCAGATGTGGAAATAAGGGAAACGTATTGAACAAAGAACATCATTTAAAGGGTTATCAGAAGTTAGCATGGTCTGCTTCAAACTGTGTTTCTTCAAATACAGCCTTCATATGAATTAGCTTTAGTTTCCTTTTAATGTATTCAAATAGATGCCACGATAAATACCAAACAAACGTTAACACATTCGATTTAAAGGCAATAAAACAGCATAAAGAAGAATGAAATGAACATGGGGAGAGAAAAGGAGGGGAGAGGAATGTAAAAGAGAAATAAATGCGGATACAATTTAAAAAATATTGATTTAAATGCATGAAAAGTTCTGATTTTCCAAAATATCTTTCCTCTTCAGCAGAACTGGTACATCAGGCACATTCTCTAGCACTTTAAGACAAAAACAGGAATAAAGATGGAAACATGAAGAAGAGGATAATACATTTAGTTACAAAGCATACATGAGATTTAAAAATGAGGATAAGCTAGAATATTACATTAGGAAGCAAACATTGCTTTTAAACACTTTAAGACAAAAACAGGACTTCCTGCAGACGAATTAAAGATGGAAGCAGGGGTGTCAAACTCAATTTCATCACGGGCCACAAAGGGCCGGTTGTAACTTTAAGACTATATATAAATACATATATACATATATCATATATATAGAATAATGTAGTATATTACATTATTGCCTCTGAATTGGATTATTATGGGATAGGGTAAGAACTTCATAATTAACTACGTCTGAAAGCAGAAGTCTAGGGCAAATAATTGCAAGTCTCTTCAGTGTGTGCACGTCACAAAATGATTTTAAAAAGAAAAGCCAAATTCTGAAGAAAAAAAAGTTAAATTTTGGGGGGAAATTTAACATTTTGGAAAAATATCGAATTCTGAGAAAAAAAAGGCATATTTATAAAAAAAAAGACAAATTCTGAGAAACAAGTCAAATTTCAGATGCATTGTGGGACATGTAGTTTATGGGCAAGGTGCGTCCGTAAAGTAGCATGTAACCCTATAATAAACGTATTGTATTCTTTCAGAGCTCTTGTGGGGCCGCATGAAATGAAGTCCTGGGCCTTGAGTTTGACCCCCCTGCTTTAGAGGACATTTTGTTACAAAGCATTCACGTCCGTGAGAATTCAAATTGGGTCAAGCAAGAATATTACATTAGGAAGCAAAACGTTTACACCAAGACCCCAAAACTAGACTTTCTGCAGACAAAATAAAGATGAAGAGTCAGGGTTAATCTCAACGGATAATACATTTTGTTAAAATGCAAAGAAGTAAGTTAGATTCTGACGTAAGAAAGTATAAAAGGATTAGACATTTTGTTAAAGAGAAAATCAGGCCAAGTAACAATATTGCACTAGGAAGCACTCAAACCCAGAAAC